TTGGTGCAGTAAGAGGTTATTGGTGCAGCCAGCAGTTATTGGTGCAGTAAGAGGTTATTGGTGCGGTGAGAGGATATTGGTGCGGTGAGCAGTTATTGGTGCGGTGAGCAGTTATTGGTGCGGTGAGAGGTTAATGGTGCGGTAAGAGGTTATTGATGTGGTGAGCAGTTATTGGTGCAGTGAGAGGTTATTTGTGCAGTGAGAGGTTATTGGTGCGGTGAGATTTTATTGGTGCAGTGAGCGGTTATTGGCACGGTGAGCAGTTATTGGTGCGGTGAGAGGTTATTGGTGCGGTAAGAGGTTATTGGTGTGGTGAGCAGTTATTGGTGCAGTGAGAGGTTATTGGTGCGGTCAGAGGTTATTGGTGCGATGATATTTTATTGGTGCGGTGAGCGGTTATTGGTGCGATAAGCAGTTATCGGCGCGGTGAGAGGTTATTGGCGCGGTGAGCGGTTATTGGTGCGGTGAGCAGTTGGTTGCTCCGTGCGGGGCGCCGCCTGCCTGGGGCCGCACGGGAGATTAAACCAAAACCTGGCGAGGAGGCTCAGCCCTCGCGGGGCCGGGGGTAGCTGCCGGTTTTGGGTTTAGGGGAATCAAAACAAACGCAGCTTCTTCTCCCCCTCCCAAGTAGCCAGCCGTGTGTGTGGCGGGAAAACAAATTAATTGGTGAAATGTGGGGGGCCCCTGTCAAGACCACTTCTACAAAGTCTTCAGTTACTTTGTGTTCAGCACGCCTGCCCCCCTTCCTGCCCCCCCCCCCCCCCCGCTGTTCCTCCAACACCGTGAGCTGCCCACGAAGAATTCCATTACCGCGGTAATTCCCTGCAATCATTTAATAATCATCATAATCATCAGCAATCCTAATTTTGTTCTAAAAAGCGGGTCGCGACAAAACAATGTCTTTATACCATGTTGAAGTGTGAAAACGTGGCCTCGCCTTGCTCCATGAAGTTTGGTTTTACTGGCGGCATAATCAGAAGCAAATCAGTCCCCAGATTGCCGTCCCCACCACCGGGGCGCCGTCACGGTCTAATTGGCCGCTCGTTTCAGGCCCCGTCAATTACCTCTGAATGCGCGTCCCACCTCCCACTGAACGAGCGTCCCACCTCCCACTGAACGAGCGTCCCACTGAACGAGCGTCCCACCTCCCTCTGAACGAGCGTCCCACCTCCCTCTGAACGAGCGTCCCACCTCCCACTGAACGAGCGTCCCACCTCCCTCTGAACGAGCGTCCCACCTCCCTCTGAACGAGCGTCCCACCTCCCACTGAACGAGCGTCCCACCTCCCTCTGAACTAGCGTCCCACCTCGTACTGAACGAGCGTCCCACCTCCCTCTGAACGAGCGTCCCACTGAACGAGCGTCCCACCTCCCTCTGAACGAGCGTCCCACCTCCCTCTGAACGAACGTCCCACCTCCCACTGAACGAGCGTCCCACCTCCCTCTGAACGAGCGTCCCACCTCGTACTGAACGAGCGTCCCACCTCCAACTGAACGAGCGTCCCACCTCCCACTGAACGAGCGTCCCACCTCGTACTGAACGAGCGTCCCACCTCCCACTGAACGAGCGTCCCACCTCCCACTGAACGAGCATCCCACCTCCCTTTGAACGAGCGTCCCACTGAACGAGCGTCCCACCTCCCTCTGAACGAGCGTCCCACTGAACGAGCGTCCCACCTCCCACTGAACGAGCGTCCCACCTCCCTCTGAACGAGCGTCCCACCTCCCACTGAACGAGCGTCCCACCTCCCACTGAACGAGCGTCCCACCTCCCTCTGAACGAGCGTCCCACCTCCCTCTGAACTAGCGTCCCACCTCGTACTGAACGAGCGTCCCACCTCCCTCTGAACGAGCGTCCCACTGAACGAGCGTCCCACCTCCCTCTGAACGAGCGTCCCACCTCCCTCTGAACGAACGTCCCACCTCCCACTGAACGAGCGTCCCACCTCCCACTGAACGAGCGTCCCACCTCCCACTGAACGAGCGTCCCACCTCCCACTGAACGAGCATCCCACCTCCCACTGAACGAGCGTCCCACCTCCCACTGAACGAGCGTCCCACCTCCCTCTGAACGAGCGTCCCACCTCCCTCTGAACTAGCGTCCCACCTCGTACTGAACGAGCGTCCCACCTCCCTCTGAACGAGCGTCCCACTGAACGAGCGTCCCACCTCCCTCTGAACGAGCGTCCCACCTCCCTCTGAACGAACGTCCCACCTCCCACTGAACGAGCGTCCCACCTCCCACTGAACGAGCGTCCCACCTCCCACTGAACGAGCGTCCCACCTCGTACTGAACGAGCGTCCCTCTGAACGAGCGTCCCACCTCCCACTGAACGAGCGTCCCACCTCCCACTGAACGAGCGTCCCACCTCCCACTGAACGAGCGTCCCACCTCCCACTGAACGAGCGTCCCACCTCCCACTGAACGAGCGTCCCACCTCCCACTGAACGAGCGTCCCACCTCCCACTGAACGAGCATCCCACCTCCCACTGAACGAGCGTCCCACCTCCCTCTGAACGAGCGTCCCACCTCCTACTGAACGAACACTCCGATGTCTGGGGGTCATTGGAATACGCAATGGGGAAGTGGAAAGCGTCAGTGTGTCGGCTATGTCGGTCCGACCGTTTGCCTGTAACAGGGGGTCACGATGAACACCGAAAAGATCATGAAATTTCACACGAAAGCTTGGGGCGCCCCGGTGGAGTGATGCTTTTTCCCTCGCCTGGTTCACAGGGTCCTGGGTTCGATCCCGGACCCTGACAATCCCTGTTGTATATTTGGAATTCGCTTGTTCTCTCTCTTTCCCCGCGGTGGCCACGTGGATTTTTCTCCGCGTCCCTCCGGTTTTCCCCTACACATTTAGAAACATGCTTGATGATGATGATGATGCTATCATCAGCCATTTCGATGAGCTATCATGTGTGGCCTGGTTGCCTCTGAATAAAGAGCTAGTAGACCAGTGGGCTATAGCTGGTAAATAAAATAGCAGGCGTAATATTGCTGGGAATGACTGTAACCCTGAGCGTATAGACAACAGACAAAGGCTTGGCCAAATCTCAGCAACACAAAACACGCGAGGACGGTCATCCCAGCCCTCTCGGCCCTCTCGGCGCGTCGCGACGGCGTCACTCCACTTGACGCGGCCTTCATCAACGTCCGTCATTCTGCTCCGCATGTAATCGCTCGATCGTGGAACGAAAAGAACAAATATACGTAAATACATATCATCGCAAACTTCCGCAGGACGAACGCGCACGTTTGGCAAGCGCTACAGAAATCCACGCGTGCGCGCGGTTCGTCTGCCTGTTGTGTTTCCCAGCGCTCGTGTGTCACAACGGCGGACGCAAACTCGCAGACTATTCGAGATGCAGCGTCTCTTATTTATTTGGGGGGAGGGAGGGGATGGGTTGGGTGGTGGAGGGGTGCGGAGCAGAGGGGTTTGGGGGGAGGGGTCGTGGACGTGAGAGGAAGAAAAAAAAACACGAAAATCTGACGCCAGATTCCAGACGCGTTTACTCGCGCGCACCTCGCCGCTCGGATTCCCCGGCCGTGGCCGTGAAAGCGCCCGTTAGGCCCCGGAGCGGTCCACGTGCGTCGCGCGATGACGAGCCTCGGGGCGCCCGTCCGTGAGAGGAGCGACTCCTCCCTCGCCGCAGCCGGCATCGAGCGCGGTCGAGCTGGCGGTGCTCTGCTGCTGCTGCTGCTGCGGTGACGACGGCGGCGTCGGTGTGGACAGCGCGATATTTTATTGAGCGTGACGAGGCTCCACGGGACTAAAATAACACGCAAATGATTTCCAACCGCCCTGGTCGAGCACCGAATTTGCAGTCGAAACGTCGTGAGATTTGTATTGTTTTATATTTGTATTATTTTATTGTTTCCCTTCTACGTGACTTTACCGAAAGAACCAAGAATATGAATCGCTGCAGTCACGAAAGCTTTAAATCAAAACACCAACAACATCTACAACAACACCAACAACATCAACACCAACAACACCATCATCATCAACAACGCCATCATCAGCAACAACACCATTATCATCAACAACACCATCATCATCAACAACACCAACATTATCAACAACACCAACATCACCAACATGAGGTCAGATGGTTCCACTGAAAGACTCTTCAGAGATAAAAATGTACCGTGTTCAATTTAGGACTTTGACAGAGCGTACAATTTAGGCAGCAATAGCTCTATATTTGAGCAATTTTACTTTTCTTAAACAATCAATCCCGGACCATGAAATAAATTACTCTTATCGTGCGTGTGTTTTTAAACAGGAACTGATAATGTATCGCTGACCCATTAACTTTCCCATTATTGCCAAGATACTCCCACCAGAAAAATAGGAATAACCCTCTGATTTTATAAATTGCATTAAAATAAAAAAATATATAAAAAATCGCACAAACGTCACGCGCGACGTGCGACGTTTGGCATGTCCATTTCCATCAACAGTCTTTCAAGGAGAGACTAAAATGGAAATGGCAATCTTAACAGCCATGATTACAGGCTGACACGGAAACAAATCGGTTGAGTGAGGTTTAATTTGTACGTGTGGCCGGTAGGGAGTGGTGGTGGTGGTTGGCCGGTAGGTGGGTGGGTGGGTGGGTGGTGGTGGCGACGGTGGTAGCCTGTGGGTGGCGGTGGTGACGGTGGCAGTGAGGAGCGGTAGTGTAGTGGTTAGTGCGCTGCGGTATGAACCCCGCGAACCGAGTTCGATTCCCGTTCATGGCCAGCGACACCAGCGCCGTGCCGGCCTTCATAGGTGCTACTCACTAACAGCACTTGCCCCAAAAGTCTGTTAAGGCTATATGGGGGATCTTTGTATCTTTGGTTTTCATTGGTGGCGACGGTGACGGTGGTGGTGACGGTGGCGGTGATGGTGACGGTGGCGGTGATGGTGGCGGTGACGGTGACGGTGGCGGTGACGGTGGCGGTGCCGGTGGCGGTGATGGTGACGGTGATGGTGCGTGCGTGACGGCCTGCAGGTGTTTGGCGCGGAGCTCCCGCTGTGGCGACGACGGGTGGAGCGGATCGCCGTGCTAGCGGCGGCGGGGGGTCATCGGCGTGGAGGGCTCCACGCCCGGCTCCGGCCTCTGCTCCGCAAGTGGGACGCGGTGCAGGTGAGAGGCGAGTGGTGGCAGCACGTGCTCCACAATACGTGCTCCATAACGTTGGACGACTTTCGTAGTAAGGGACCACGTTGGTGTAGGTGCTCACACTGAATTTTGATATAGATGTATAATATTTTTTTTACATATTGACTTTCCCACAACAAACACACCACCTGGTGTTACCAAATTACAAAAAAAACAACAACAAATGACGTTCATGAATGTCCATCCGCTGCTGATGATTGGCAGCGTACGGTGCGAAAGAAGTTCAACGTGCATACATGATGATGAAAGTCAGAATATTTTCAGAATCTGTATTTATACTGGAAGAATCCGATGAGCCATAAAGCTCTTTTCTCACAGATGTCCAGTCAGTCGGTGTTAACGTCAATCCTGCCATTAACACTTGGATGAAGTTGTGAACGATATACACGGTAATTTAGCGGCAGGGCGGGCGGACGGGCGAGGTGGCGGCTCTTTGCTGCTGCACAGCGCCGTGACGGGTTTGGCACGGACGGTGACAGCAGCCACGTGGCATGGGGGCACGGGCTGCACCGAGAGCGAGCGCCGCAAGGTGACCCCGCCTCCGGAGCCCCAAATTCCGCACCGCTACATCTCGACAAAAACAAAACTCAAATCCGCTGACGCTAGAGACGCGGGCCGGGACGGGCTTGAAGGTCCTCGCAGCCCCACGCACGGCAAGGGGAGCCCGCCGCCTGCCTGCCAAGACGGTCGCAGAACCCCGTGTCGCTCCACTGCTGGATGAGGACCTCCTCTCGTGACTCTTTCGGCCAACTTCACCGCCCTGCTCGGCAGCGCGGGTTGGCGAAGGCGGGGAGCGTAGAAGTACAGGACTACAATTGATATTGCTGCGCTGCCATCGGCCGACCACCAAGTAGCACAGCACCGCGGCTGGCCGTATGTGTGTGTGTGTGTGCTTGTGTACGTGTGTGCGAATGTGCGCGCGTAGTGTAGCAGCGGTTAGCGCGCTACGCTACGAACCTGGCGACCCGGGTTCGATTCCCGCTCACGGCCAACGCCCAGTGACGATTATCTGAACCGGTCCCGGGCCTCCCCTAGGTCGACTCGGCCTCAAATGAGTACCCGGTGCGGTGTGTAAAACATCGCCACTGTGGGAGACAAAGGTCGACCAGGCGTGGCGCAACCCACCCCCCCCCCCCCCCCACCAGCACTTGCCCCGCCCACTGAAGGCCATACGGGGGATCTTTGTCTTTGCACGCAACGCGCGACCGCGTGCCCCTGCGCGTCCCTACGCGCGCGCACGGGCGCCCTCGCCGCGTTTGGCATGCGCCCGCGCGCGCCTCGCCGGTGCCTCGGAGCTCAGCTGGACTCCCGGCTGGGCAGACCCCGGGGCGACAGCTGCTGCCGGCGGAGAGGGCCCCGGGGTTCACGGGCGGAGAGCGTGCGGGGGAATTCTAAAACCGCGCCGCTGTACAACCCCCCCCCCGGCCCCACAGGGAGCGCCGTTTCGCACGCGCGTCGTGAATATTCGATACGGAGAGAAGGATCTTGGGAGTAGGAGTGGAAGAGGCGGGTTAAGGAATGGAGACAATGAGGAGCGTGGGGGGTGGGGGGGGGTGTCACACGCCAGATGAGTGCCGCTGCTGTTCATTGCCAAGGAAGTTGTGCAATGTCAAGGTGTTTATTGTAACTGTAATTTTTATTTGAGCAGGTAAGGCCCACTGAGGTGTCTAGCTCTTCTTCAGAAGCGGCTTCGCTATCACAAGTTACAGCTCAACGAAGTGGTTCATCCCATTAAGAGGGTCCCCGTTTGGTTGAAGGGAAAAGTGTATAGTGTAGTGTATAGTGTAGTGTATACTGTAGTGTATAGTGTAGTGAATAGTGCAGTGTATCGTAGTGTATAGTGTAGTGTATAGTGCAGTGTATAGTGCAGTGTATAGTGCAATGTATAGTAGTGCATAGTAGTGTATAGTGTAGTGTATAGTGGAGTGTATAGTGTAGTGTATAGTGTGGTGTATAGTGTAGTGTATACTGTGGTGTATAATGCAGTGTATAGTAGTGTATAATGTAGTGTATAGTGTAGTGTATACTGTAGTGTGTAGTGCAATGTATAGTAGTGTATAGTGTAGTGTATAGTCGTGTATAGTGCAGTGTATAGTGTAGTGTATACTGTGGTGTATAGTGCAGTGTATAGTGCGGTGTATAGTGTAGTGTATAGTGCAGTGTATAGTGCAATGCATAGTAGTGTATTGTGTAGTGTATAGTCGTGTATAGTGTAGTGTATAGTGTAGTGTATAACGTAGTGTATAGTGTAGTGTATAGTAGTGTATAGTGTAGTGTGTAGTGTATAGTGTAGTGTATAGTGTAGTGTGTAGTAGTGTATAGTGTAGTGTATAGTGTAGTGTGTAGTGTAGTGTATAGTAGTGTATAGTGTAGTGTATAGTGTAGTGTATAGTGTAGTGTGTAGTGTATAGTGTAGTGTTTAGTGTAGTGTTTAGTGTAGTGTATAGTGTAGTTTATAGTAGTGTATAGTGTAGAGTATAACGTAGTGTATAGTGTAGTGTGTAGTATTGTATAGTGTAGTGTATAGTGTAGTGTATAGTGTAGTGTATAACGTAATGTATAGTGTAGTGTATAGTGTAGTGTATAGTGTAGTGTATAGTGTAGTGTGTAGTAGTGTATAGTGTAGTGTATAACGTAGTGTATAGGGTAGTGTATAGTGCAGTGTGTAGTGTATAGTGTAGTGTATAGTAGTGTAGTGTGTAGTGTAGTGTTTAACGTAGTGTATAGTGTAGTGTATAGTGTAGTGTATAGTAGTGTATAGTGTAGTGTATAGTGTAGTGTATAGTAGTGTATAGTGTAGTGTATAGTAGTGTATAGTGTAGTTTATAGTGTAGTGTAGTGTGTAGTGTATAGTGTAGTGTTTAGTGTAGTGTATAGTAGTGTATAGTGTAGAGTATAACGTAGTGTATAGTGTAGTGTGTAGTAATGTATAGTGTAGTGTATAACGTAGTGTATAGGGTAGTGTATAGTATTGTGTGTAGTAGTGTATAGTGTAGTGTATAACGTAGTGTATAGTGTAGTGTATAGTGTAGTGTATAGTGTAGTGTATAGTGTCGTGTGTAGTAGTGTATAGTGTAGTGTATAACGTAGTGTATAGTGTAGTGTATAGTGTTGTGTATAGTGTAGTGTAAAGTACAAGACGTTGGTGAGGCCCGTGCTGTTGTATGGTGCCGAGTGCTGTTGGGGCACAATGAAGAGGGCGGACCAAGCGATGTCAGTCACAGAGATGAGGATATGAGATGAGGGTGGGGGTTAACACGGAAGGACAGGGTGAGAAATGAAGAAGTGAGAAATGAAGACTCAAGGTGATAGAAATCACAGAGAAGTTGAGAGAGAATTGGCTCTGGCGTGGTTTGGTCATGTGGAGAGGCAGCTGGGAAAGTGTGTGTGGGTCAGAAGGTGCAAGCGACGCTTGTGGAAGGAAAGAGATCGAGAGGAAGGCAGACAAAGAGGTGGGGCGATGTGGTGCGGGAAGAAAGATGGCGCCGGACAGGGCAGTGTGGAGAAGGTTGACAAGGACAGCAGACCCCACACGCGTGGAACGAGTAGGAGAATGGTCTAAACGCGTGATGTTGATTCCAAATAAGGAGGGGAAAACCGGAGGACCCAGACAAAAATCCACGCGATCACGAGGAGAACATGGGAATTCCAAATATATGCTTCTTGGCGAGATCAGCAAAGCATGGTGGTTCACGTGTGGTGAGCACTTTGTGCGTAACGAGTGCGACCTCACAATAATAAATTCGTTTGGCAACCCGGCAGCGCAATGCAGCCCGGCGAGCACCGGACGGACACAGGCTGAGCTCGCAGTACCCGTCACGACGCGCGCCAGAGATGGTTGTGCACGCTGCAGCCTGGTAACGTCCCGTAGAGCAGGGACGCTTCCATAAGAATGAGCAAACGGGCGAGCAAACGAATCTGCGACCGAGTGAACCGAATGAGCAATTAAACGAATAAACTGACCGCCCCCCGCCCCCCCGCCCCCCGCCCCGTCTCCACGGCAGGCGTTGCTGGAGGACACGTGCCCCCCGTGGGAAGGCGGCGGCTCGCCGGCCATCCGGGCCTTGGTGGGCGCCGACGCGGCCGCTCTGCTCGCTCGCCTGGGCGTCGCCGTGCGCCACCTGCGCCGCTGGCTCCTCCACGCCGAGCAGCTGCTGCTGCACGCCGCGGCCGCCGGCGACGGAGACCTCGCCCGCGACCTGGACGCTCACGTCGGCCGCTTCAAGGTACGCGCGCGTGGGCGGGCGTGCGGGCGGGCGGGCGGGCGACCGCGGCCGCCGCCGGGCCCCGACACGTCGCGTTTGCCCCAATAACCTCAAGGCTACGAGGGGGACCTTTATCTCCGTTGCGCCGGTCTCCACCGGCGCCGGCACCGTGGTTAACCTCGCTCCACCCGCGGCCACCACCGCACCGCCCCACGCGGGCCGTTGCGCGTGCGAGAAACGAGTAACCAGTGCCGATCGTCTGTCTTGCAAATGGTCATCACCATTCGTGTTACTGAACGGTGGTGATGTTTTCATCGTTGTTACTGTCATGAGCGTCACCGTCTCATCCACGATCTTTCTTCGTCTTTCCGGCTGATCTTACTCGGGAACAAATCCCACGTTTTGTTCACTTGTTTCTCGAGCTGATTCACGCCATCATTTCACACATCATTTAATCTGAAGTAGCGGATGATGGCAATGATGGTGATGACGATGGGAATGATGGTGATGACGAGGGGAATGATGGTGATGAGGTTGGCGATGATGAGGACAATGATGGCGATGATGATAGCTATACAATGATAGTGATTGAAACAATAACAACAATAACACAAACGAAGCAACTCCGAGCCCGCACAAATCTCGCGAAAGAGGACAAATCGCCGCCCCATCACGAAGCGAGAGGCGCAGAGCGACCCAGGATGGTGACGGCCGGCAACGGCGGCCAAAGCGTCCATGGCAACACTCCCCATCACCCGTCGCCCATCGCCACGACGCCCGTCGCCACGACGCCCATCGCCACGACGCCCGTCGCCACGTCGCTCGTCGCCACGACGCCCGCTGCCATGACACACATCGCCTGTCGCCACGACGCCCGTCGCCACGTCACCCGTTGCCACGTCGCACGATGCCCGTCGCCACGTCGCCCGTCGCCACGTCGCCCGTCGCCACGACGCCCGTCGCCACGACGCCCGTCGCCACGACGCCCGTCGCCACGACGCCCGTCGCCACGACGCCCGTCGCCACGACGCCCGTCGCCAGGACGCCCGTCGCCACGACGCTCGTCGCCACGACGCCCGTCGCCACGTCGCACATCGCCACATCGCCCGTCGCCACGATGCCCGTCGCCACGACGCCCGTCGCCACGACGCCCGTCGCCACGACGCCCCGCGCGCCCGCCGCTCTGAATCAGAATCTTTTTTTGTCCTGGAGGAATCCGATGAGCTATGAGGCTCTTTTTTTCACAGATGTCCAGCAGGTGCAGGTCAGAAAGTTACACAATGCAAAAGAAATTATAGGAGTGCAAAGTATAGGAAGGGTAAGAAAATCACTGCAAATAAATAAAAATAGACAAAGCATGTAAGTTCTAATTGCACACACAGGAGCCCCTCAATAAAATTGACATTTAACTGGGCTGTCCGTCCGGCGCATAGAGCTATCGATGGTCAGGATCAAAGTCGCAGATCACATTTGCAAATTGCGGGCGTACTGCAACGCGCGGACAGCTGAGCGCCCTGGCCGCGCGCTTCCTCCGGCGCTCGACCCCTGGGAGCCGCGAGCTCGCGATCGCGTAGTCCCCCCCCCGCGCCCGGGACGTGTAATTGAAGGTGCTGGATTGCGGAAAGCGAACGAGGCGGCTAACGAAGTGGCGCTCCTCCTAACGAAGGCATCGGACTGCGCCGGGCGGCAGCCCCGCGCTTCTCGCTTTTAAGGCCGAGGACGGAGGCACGAACCAATTTTCATCGAGTAATTGTCGGCGCGTTTCTGAAGTGCCGCATCCGAGATTATTGGCGGCGTGCGAAATGAGCGGCGGCGGTCCGCGCCCCCCCCCCCCCCCCCGTTCGCAGCGCCCGTCACTCGCTCGAGCCGGCCCCGTCTTTCCCGAGCGTCCGCGTCCCACCGCGGAGGCGTGCCGCGTGTGTCCGTTACGTTTACATCCCCGGGAGTGCCGCGGTGCCGATCGTGCGCGCGTGGCGGGAGGCGAGGGGTGAGGTTTGTTCCGCGGTAAGACGCCACGTGCCGGCGTGTCGTCGGCCCTCGAGTGCTGTCCGATGTCTGCGGCGCTTAACCACGTGGCGGGTGTCGAGCGTGCGGAGGGCCCGAGAGAACGCAGGTGACAGTGCCACCACCTGCGGCTTTACTGAACGAGGCCGACCACCTGGAACGACGTGACGATAAAGCACAGCCCGGCAGTCGACTCAAAATAATTATTATTCTTCATCATCATTATCGGTTATAACAGAGGAAGCACCGTGTCACTGGGAATGCAAAAAGCCAATTGAATATCGGAAAAGCCACCTTTGAAATCTGCAGTGGAAGGCATCTAAAACAACAATCAGAATCTATATTTGAAGTGCAGGCATCTGATGAGCTAGAAAGCGCTTTGTAACCGATGATCAGTAGGGGCAGCTCAGAAAGTTACAACAACCAATACAAAAACACAATTGGAGTGCACATCGCAGGAAAGGTAAACAAATAACTTCAGAGTAAACTTTAAAAAAAAACATTTCAACCAGGTGAAGCCCACTGAGCTTCTTTTTCGTAAGCCACCTGGCTGCGTCGCCCCGTGAGACACGTCACGCCGAGCGGCGCCGTCGGCGTTGGCGTCGTCATCGTCATCGCGGTTGGCTACGTACGATGCGAGGCACTCAACGTAGAGTACGCTGCGTCAGCGGCCATGCTTAATCCGCTGCTGTACCAGGGCCACTGCAAGCCATCGCCATCTCTCACAAATCTGCAACGTAACGATCCGTCGAGTACCACCCACACAGATGGATTCGTTGCTCCGTCTCCACGGTGGGTATCTGCCTCAGGGGGCGAGTTTCCCCTCCTGTTCCCGCTCCTCCCATAATGACTCATCGTTCTTGCGAAAGTACGATGGGCGAATATTTTACATGTATTCTATAATTACATTTACATTTTTATCTAATTGTTGCCCCATGTATGAGCGCTTGAAGGAAATGAATATCGCCATCATATTTTAAAATAATTTTCAAAGTGTTAATTTGGTGTGATCTGCGGTATGGCGACTCTTGTCTCCGTGTGGGTGGTGTTATGTTTGGCGCGGTGGTGTGGTGGGATGTGCGGTGTGGTGTACATTGGTATTGTTTGGCAAGCTGTATTGTGCGAGTACGGTATAATGTTTTGGGTGTTGTGGTGTGGTGTTATGTCTGGTGTGTCCCGTCTGTGTGTGTGTGGTATAATGTTCGGTGTGCTATTGTACGTGGTATGCCAATGTGCGGCGCCTGGCGTGCTTAGTGCGTTCGTGACGCGGTTGCGTTTGCTCCGATTTCTATTTTGCTTCATCGCTCTCCTCTATATGAGATTCATTCTAATCATTTGACATGTTGGTGACCCAGGTCGCTCTTGCAATGGAGACTCCATCCTGGCCTCTCGCGTTCTCGCCTGCCGACGCAAATCAACCATGTCGTGACTTGCCGTGGTGCTGTGCGCGGCGTTGCCACCCCGCTCCTCCCCAGTCGCTGTGCGCTCAGATCCGGCAGCGGCGCAGGGCCATGGGCGCCCTGCTGCGCCTGTGCCACCGTCTGCTGGAGCACGAGGAGAGCGCCGCCGGGAGCGACGGCAGCGGCCGATCCCCGCCGCAACCCTCGGCTTCCGCACTCCACGGCACGTGGCCCGGCGCCGCCGCCGCCACCGCCACCGCCGCTGGGCCACCGCAAAACCCGGACGGCGCCCCCGGGCCGACGGACCGGACTCGCGCCGAGCCTTCCGCGAGCGACGAGCTACGGCCTTGCGGACGGACGGTTCCGGCTCGCGAGCCCCAGCGGCCGGAGGTTGCCGGCGCTCCCCGGCAAGGGGGCGGCGAGGAGTGGGTAGAGGCGGCGGCGGCGGCGGAGGAGGCCGGAGAGGATGGCGAGGTGCGGCGGCTGGCGGAGGGAATGGAGCGGCGGTGGGAGGCGCTGGTGCTCCAGGCCGTGCACTGGCAGTCGCGGCTGCAGCGGTGCTGCACGCCGGAGCAGGCGAGTGGCAGCTGGGGGGTGGGGGGGCGGGGCGGGGACACCGGGGGAAACGTTTCACACAACTCACGGCAACTTCACGTTGTTGTTGTATTTTTTATTTAATGCTTTCGTGACTGCAGGGATTCGTATTCTTGGTTATTTCGGTAAAGTCACGTAGAAGGGAAACAATAAAGTAAATAAAAAACCCCGCCACTTTTTTCAAATTTTCTTGCTGTGGTTTTCACACCTGATGATGATTGCTTGTGTCGCAGTCGAAACGTCGTAAGCATTTTATTGTTTTATATTTTTATTATTTTATTGTTTCCCTTCGACGTGACTTTACCGAAAGAACCAAGAATATGTCGTTGTAGTATTATTTATTTAGTTTTCACCGCGTTGTTGGATCGAACTCGAGGGGGTGGGTGGCTAGCAGCACGCCCGGCTGCCATTGTCTCCACAGTGCTTGTGCTTAAACACCGCACCAGGTCCTCATTGAAGGCTGTGTCAAACTAGGGGAGGTGCAGGAGGAGTTCTAATATTCATAACTGGTGTTGGTTGTGAAGCGGGAATTGAACTCGGGTCAGCGGGTTTGTAGTGCAGCAAAGACAAAGATTCCCCGTATAGCCTTAAGAGACTTCTCAGGCAAGTGCTGTTAACGAGGACCGATGAAGGCCAGCACACGAGGGGATGGGTGGCCAGCAGCACGCCCGACCGCCATTGGAGCGCAGCTCACACATAGACACACACACATACACACACGTGCACACGTACACACGGACACGCATGTACGCATGTACACAAACGTACACACACCTTGCACACAGACACACACACGCACAACAAAGACAAAGATCACCCGTATAGCTTTAACAGACTGTAGGGGCAAGTGCTATTAGCGAGCACCTATAAAAGCCGGCACAGCACACGAGGGGGTGGGTGGCCAACACCACGCCTGGCCACCTTTGTCTCCCTCGTGGCGATGTTTACACATTGCACCAGGTACTCAGTTGAGTCGACCTAGGGGAGGCCCAGGACCGGTTTTGATAACACTATGTCACACAATTTTTGCTCCTGGGTAGTTGCTTTTGTGACCAGGACAGTGATATTTTGAAATTTACCTATTTTCACTGAGAAAACGGGCGAATTTGTGTCTTTTCGTTCACATAAAGTCAGAAAAAAAACATACGAATCAAAATGAACAGACACCCACGTGCACACTCATACGCAGAAACGCGTTCTCGCGCCTCCTCCTCCGCCACCCCCCCCCACCCCCCACCCCCCACCCCCCGCGCGCGCACAGGCGGCGCTGCGGCACGTGGACGCGTCGCTCGCCGACCTGTGCTGCTCGAGCGACGAGGCACTCGAGTGGGACGAGACCGACCTGGACAACGAGCTCATCACCTCCACCTTCGATGACGACGGCGAGCACGACGAGGAGGAGCACGCGGACGACAACCCCACCAGCGCGTACTTCTCCGCCTCGGCGCCGCGCGGCCGGGCTCCACGGGCGATGACGAAGGAGAAAAACGACGAGGAGGAGGAGGAGGAGGAAGGGAGAGCAAGAGGAGGAGGAGGAGGGATGTCGTACGAGCCGGGCGGCTCGCTCGTCTACCAGGTCTACAGCGTGCACGACGTTTCCCTGGACGCCGACCCCACCCTGCCGCTCGGTGGCGGCCTCGGCCTCCGTGGGCCGGGCAAGGCCAAGGGTCTGGTGAAGAGCGCCAGCAAGGACTCCTCCTTCTCCTCCACCGAGTCGCTGCTCAACCTCCTGGACGGGCTGCTGGGCGACGGCTGGGGCACGCCGGGCGCGATGGGCGAGTGCGAGAGCGGCATCGCGAGCGAGGGCGACGCCGCCACGGTGTCCGACTCGCGGCCGTCGGGCGACGATGCGGCGCCCGGCGGGACGGGAGACGTCTGTGCCACGACGGGGGAGCGCTGCCTGGAGAAGGGGGACGCGGCCGACGAGAGGCGAGCGTCGCGGCGAAACCGCCCGGACGAGGACGATCGCGAGACGCCGAACCGGCCGGCGAGGCCTCTCGGCTTCTACGACAACGGCCACTTTCCAGGAGAGCTGGGGCGTCCGCCCCACGTGATGACGTCCGCGGGGTTTTCCGGGGCACTGGTCCCCGATACGCAGTCGCCTCTTCCTTCTCTGCCTCGTTATTGTCTCCCCTATCACGAAGACCCCGGGGCGGAGGAGAAGGTTCTGCCGCTCCGTGACGCCGGCGCCGGTGCCGCCGCCGCCGCCGCTGCGCCAGAGCCGCCGAGCCCCACGTCGTCGGCGTCGCTCACGGAGGACGAGCGCGACCTCCCGTCGATGAATTCGTCCGCTGACTCCACGTGCATGGGCGGGGAGGAGTGCTACTACCACGGCGGTGCGCCGGCGGACAGGAGCGCGGCCGCGGGGGTCACCGCCGCCGCCGGCTACCTCAGCGAGGCCACGCTGGAGCTCCTGCAGCAGCTGGAAAAGGCGAGCGGCCGCGCGGGCGGGCGAGCGGCGCGCGGCGCGTCGGGCGCAGCGCCGCAGAGCGCCTCGGCGCGGCCCGCGGCGCCGGGCTCGCGGCCCCCGCCGGAGGGGAGGCCCCGCGGGCGCGAGGACTCGGCCGCCTCCATCTCGGAGCCGTCGGACGGGAGCTGCGAGGACGTCTCGCTGTCGTCCGATGACCGCGGCGAGCCGAGCGCCTCGCCGCCGGAGGACGCGAGCGTGAGCATGATCGTCAACATATCGGGCACGTCCGTCTGCTCGGACGACGACGGCGACGACGACACGGACCTCCTGTCCAGCTCCACCGTGACCCTGAGCGACGATGAAGACGGCGACAACGGCGGCGGCGACGAGGATGGCTTCTGCGTGGATGAGGAGACCTCGTCCAGCTCAGGCAGCTGGGACGAGGATGACGACGACGACGACGATGACGACAGCGACGACAGCGAGAGCTTCTCGGAGGACGAGTGCGCCGCCACGACCACGGGGAACCACGGCTTCTACCTGCGGCCTGCGTGGGATGTGACCCACCTGCAGGGCCTCACCGCGGTCCTCGGCGATGGCGGCGGCAACGGCGCCGCCGGGCGGCCGTTCGGAACGTTCTACGCGCGATTCTCGCGTCCCGAACCGCTGGCCACCACCCTCGTGAACCCGTCGTGCGCAGCGCACGAGGGTGGCCTCCTCCCGCCCGGAACGTTCCAGGGAGCGGCCGACCCCAGCTCGGCGAGCAACGCCGACTTCGAGAACGGCAACGTGGACGAGTCGCCGTACCTGTCGCCCTTCGAGGAGGACAGCCTGTGCTTTGAAAACCCGGAGGGGGAGACGCTCTACGCGCCGGAGGGCCGGCCCATTTCCCAGAGGGACTTTCTTGCCGAGAAGAGGAACAAGAAGAAGACGGCGTCCTTCGCGCAGGCTGCGGTCTCCGCCCGGGCCGCCCGGGAGGACGGTGCAGAGCACGGCGCCGCCTGCGCGGCCGGCAAGGGCCACCGCCTGGTCAAGAAGTCGCACCAAAAGTGGAGCCACCCGCCGGCCCGCGGGGACGAGCTCGCAGGCGGCCTCCACTTCGCGACGGGAGACGCAGGCGGGGCGGAGCTTTCGCCGCTGCCGTCGCCGCCGCTGCCACTGCCGCCACCGGGAAGTCGGTCGTGGCGCTCGGCCGAACCCTCCGTGCTCCAACCTACGACTCCGATGCTGCCGGTGCCCTTCTCCGCGACGAGGGAGGCGGGCGGCGTCACGCGGAGCAGCTCCGCCTCGTCCCTCTCCTTCTCGCGCATCTCGGACGTCGGCCCGGACTCGGTGGAGATCGACTGCGCCGCCGTGACGCTGCCGCGGCCCCGCGCGGACGCGCTCACGCTGGCGATGGAAGCGCAGCTGAGCTGCTTCGAAGCGACAATGGTGGCACCGCTGCGGCGGCGGCGTCGGGAGGAGGAGGAGGGTGAGCTCGCCTCCCCGGAGACCGGCACCGCGAGGCCGGCGCGTGGTGTGAGCCACTACGTGACGGAGATCGTCGAGATTGCGTCGGCGGCGCTCGTCCAGATGTCCGCGCAGAACGGGGGCGGCGGCTCCATCCTCAACCGCACGTCCTCCTTCAGGCAGAGGAGCGAGCGGTTGAAGCCGGCGCCGCACGCCGGCGAGCCGCGCAAGGCCACCGCGTACTCCTACGTGGCGCTGCGTGACAGCGAGTGCACCTGGGAGCTGAGCAGCTGCGACGACGACATGTCCAGCACGCCACTGCTGCCGCTTGACGAGGACACGCGCTCCGAGGAGGACGGGGAGCGCGGCGTTGCCGCCGAAGCACCACAGCCAGGGGCCGGAGCGCCGTCGGCGTCCCTGCCGCCTCCTGCCGGGCGGCCGGGCGCCACGAGCGAGACGGAGATGCGGGGGACGGCCGGCGTTCCGGAGGAGGCCGCCGCACCGTCACCCGAGGGCTCGGCCCCTCCGCTGCTGCCGCCTCGCCGGCCGCTCCCGCCGCTGCCTCCACCCCGGAACCCCCCGCCTCCCCCGCCACGCCGATCCAGTAGCCTCCCGCATCCGACCGGCGCTCCCGCGTCTCCCGCGGTGTCTTCCGTAACGTCTCTCACGGGATCTCCCGCCGCGTCTCCCGATGGAGCGCCGCCAGCCTCTCCCGCCACGTCTCCCAACGGAGCACCACCCGCCTCTCCCGCCACGTCTCCCACCGCCTCTCCCACCACGTCTCCCAACGGAGCACCACCTGTGTCTCCCACCACGTCTCCCAACAGAGCACCACCCGCCTCTCCCGCCACGTCTCTCAACGGAGCACCACACGTGTCTCCCACCACGTCTCCCAACAGAGCACCACCCGCCTCTCCTGCCACGTCTCCCAACGGAGCACCACCCGCGTCTCCCACCACGTCTCCCAACAGAGCATCACCCGCCTCTCCCGCCACGTCTCCCAACGGAGCACCATCGGCGTCTCCCGCCACGTCTCCCGCCCCGTCTCCCGCAGCGTCTCCCAACGGAGCACCACCCGCGTCTCCCGCAGCGTCTCCCAACGGAGCACCACCCGCCTCTCCCGCCACTTCTCCCAACGGAGCACCATCGGCGTCTCCCGCCACGTCTCCCGCCACGTCTCCCGCAGCGTCTCCCGTCGGAGCGCCTCCCATGCTGGAGGAAGAGGAGGATGAGGAGGAGCAGGAGCAGGAGCAGGCGAACCGGAGCCTACAGAGTCTGCAGCAGGAGGACACCGGCCTGGACGAGAACAGCAACAGCAGCCACCCGACGGAGCGGAGCGGCAAGCGGCGTTCCCCCAAGCCCACGGGTGGCGTCGGGGTCGCCGCGTGGACGCGAGGGCAGGACCGCAACAAGAACGACCTCGTCGCCCCCGGCAACGGAAACACGGGCGCCACAACGGCCCCCAGGCGCACGCAGCAGGACGCCGTCATCGCCGCTGTGAAGCAGGTAAAGGCCCCGCACGGTTTGGGACTTCGGTTCGGGTGCTGCCCACACGTGGCGGTGTAACGAGGAGGGTGCTGCCCACAATGGTGCCGTAACGGTTAGCAGTGCGTGGAAATTGCAATCAAGAAGGCGCCGCTTCGATTCCATCTCCTGGCGTGGAAGTTGAAATCATGTTTCTTAAATCCACTCACACATCGCCTTTGTTCACCCAGAAGTGTATATATATGCATGAACCTCATTTAGTTGATTGGCAGGCCGTAGTAAAGTGTGGGCACTCCCACAAATGCAAGGGTAGGCCAAAGTTAACAGCAGTGGTGTGAACGAGCAATTGCAGGGCTGCGCCTCTATACTTTAACTGTACCCACTTGAGGGTAATCACGCGAACTTGTTACGGCGGGCTTGGCGGAAGCAGGCGGATCATTATCGCGAAAGCATTCATTCATTAATTCACTCGTAACTGCATCTCCACCATCGTCACTTTCCATTTCGTAAAACAAAAATGACGATCTGCCTGACGCCCGCTGCGGAGACGGAGCGGTGAGATCGGCGAGGTGGACCGTCGGCAACGCGCAAAAACGTCGCGGGGTGGTCTTCATCCAGCAGCGGATCGATCCTGCCCGACGACGACGACGACGAGTCTGCGCTCGCCGTTACCGGAAGTGACCGAGTCGCGGCACAGCCCTGCCGAGCACGGTCTCGTTCGCCACGGAGCTCCCGTGCGGAGTGACGAAGAAGCCCTCTGAAGATCGATGCTCCCCAGTGTAGAGCGGCGCGGCCGGCCCGCTGCTGTTTAACTTGGCTGTGCCAAGGTCACGTGGTGCGGTTTTTCTTTTTGCCGTGCACATGTCCGTCAAATTATTAAATAACAGGGCCGTTTATTTATCCGGTGAAAGTCTCACCGAGGCTCATTTTCACGAGGGCCAATTCCACGCTGAGGAATTTATTATTCACGCGTGGTAAGGAACTGGAGAACCCGGAGAAAAGCCCACCGCTCATGCGAGAGGACAACTCTCAAAGGTCCACACAGACGGGGCTCATAGACCCCCTCGCTGTGCGACCATTTCCTGGCCACGTCGTAGCCCACTGGGTTTTGGAGTCTCGCAAATCATCGCGCCATCCGCCAACCCGAGTCTCCCAGAGAAGCTTCCCACACCACATCCATCTACTCCTCGCCTCTCACCACCTCCTACATGTCACTCTACCGCTGCAGCTCACTGAGAGTGGGCTGGGGTTGGCGGACTGCATCAACCACCAGCAGCAGCAGCAGCAGCAGCACCTGGCGTCGTCCCACGCATGGCTGCAGGAATACACAGCGGAGCGGCCACTTGCCACGCCATTCACTCTTAATTCGAGGCCCGAGAGCAACGAGGCTGTCCGCGAGAATGAATTGTGGGCTGGACGCGGGCCCAGCGAGCGAGTGAGCGAGCGGGCGAGCTCTGTTCCCGCAGACACGCTCGCTCCGCCACAAAGAGCCTTCTGTTCCTCCGCGGGACGGTGGGGCGGTGGAGGTGGGGGGAGACGGGGGGGGGGCGGTCGTGGTGAGTGGAGAGAAGGCGGTGGGTCCGGCGGGGGGTGGTGGTGGTGGTGGGGGAGCGGTGTGGTGGGGAGGGGAGGTTACGCTGCCGGGGCTGTGGAATTCCGCTGGATCGGAGCGCCGGGCAGCGGGGCGAGGTTGCCGGCCCAGTTTCTGAGTGCCGTGGTTGCGATGGCGGCGTCTCTGGAACGCCTGAAATCTCAACGCGGTGTCGCCTGTGACACCGCGTCGCCGCAGCACGCGCGGTCCCACCACGGCACACACAGTCCCACCGCAGCATGTGGAATCTCACTGCAGCACACGCAGTCTCACCGCAGTACGTGGCATCTCACTGCAGCACACGCAGTCTTACCGCAGTACGTGGAATCTCACTGCAGCACACGCAGTCTCACCGCAGTACGTGGAATCTCACTGCAGCACACGCGGTCCCACCAAAGCACGTGGAATCTCACTGCAGTACACGCAGTCTCACCGCAGTACGTGGAATCTCACTGCAGCACACGCAGTCTCACCGCAGTACGTGGAATCTCACTGCAGCACACGCGGTCTCACCGCAGCACACACAGTCCCACCACAGTATGTGGAATCTCACTGCAGTACACGCAGTCCCACCACAGTACACGCAGTCCCACCACAGTACATGCAGTCCCACTGCAGCACACACAGTCCCACCACAGTACACATTTCCACCAGAGTACACGCAGTCCCACCGCAGCACACGCAATCCCACAATGCCTATCCAAACTCCATGTGGTTCATCAGGGGTTAGGGATGGGTATCAGGCTCCCTGGTCGTCATGGCGACCACCCAGCACTGATGGGATAACGATGATGGGAATGGGTCGGACCGCTGATGACAGTAATGGCATGATGATGGCGGCGATGATGGCGATGATGTCAGTCTGTCTATGCAGCATTGCGCAGGGTACGCCGATGGTTTCGTTTGCGTGCGCGCACTCCTCTGGGGAGTGGAGGCACAGCGGTTAGCGCGCTTCTCTACGAAGCCGGCAACTCGCGTTCGATTTCTCGTCCACGGTCGACAGGAGTGGCGAGTGATATCTGGCCCAGCCCCCGCGCCAGAAATTCCTCGTTTATCCCGTGTACACCCAACGCGTTTTCGCCGTAACGCGGTTCTTCTGTGAGGGAACACTTTTCGCACAGTGCTGGAACGCGCACCGTTATAACGTACGTGAAACGGCGCGTGATAGCACGGAACGCGCGCATTGTAACGCAGGATGCACCCGTTATCAAGCAGAATGCACGCATTATAATGCGAAAAACGCGCGTCATAACGTGGAAGGCACACCGTTACACCGTGGAACGCGCCAGTTATGACGCGGAAGGCGCCCCGTTTATAACACGCTTTCTCAGCGGTCGACAACGGACTACTTTCTTGAGTTGCGCGGCTGAGCGGTGCGGGAATGCTCGGTAATAAGCACGGAATGATCACGTGGGTCCCGGTCCTGGACCTCCCCTAGGTCTACTCAGCCTCAAATGAGTACCTGGTGCGGTGTGTAAACATCGTCACTGGGGAGACAAAGGCGGCCGGGCGTGATGTTGGCCACCCACCCCTCGTGTGCCGTGCCAGCCTTATATAGGTGCTCGCTAACAACACTTGCCCCAACAGTCTGCTGATGCTACACGGGGGATCTTTGTCATTGACACACCTGCGTGTGCGTTGTCCCCTGCGCTCAGCTCACGCCGAGGACCGCGAGGCTCCGCGCAGGGCCCACGAGACCCTCGGAGGGGCCCGCGGAGCGCGGGAAAGGCTCCCGGGGCCTGGCCCACGTGGGGTCCGCACGGCAGGGCCACACGGCAGCCCCCGGCGGCCGTCCCGGAGCCAAACTCCCTCCCTGCAACGCGGGAGGGAGGCCCAAAGCCCTCCCCTAAGCGCCCAGCATTGGCCTGCACCCTGCGTCGCCTCCAGGTGAGGCGCTCGCCCCCCATCTTCCTCCCCCGCCCCCCTCTTCTTCTCCACCCGCTTCTCCGCCGACAGCGGCCCAGCGGTGGCAGCGCGCCGCGGCCGCTTCAAGGCCGGGACGTTCGCGGCCGGAGTCCAGCGGCCGCCACTCATCATTATGACTGCGCGTGCGTGAACCTGTGACGCTGCTACGACAGCGCGCCGTTTGCTTCACACCGCACGTTAAAGACTCCCCACCCCCTCTCCCCCCGTGACGTCATTCGCAAAGAGTCGGCCATTTGCGCGTCTCGGCGCCGGGTTTTAAAATTTGCCAAGTTCGGAAATGACGACGCAGATAACTCGATTTGGATGAAGCGCACACACACACACAGCGGCAATCATCCAACCGCAACCGTTGACGATAAATACAGGTCCTGGGGTGGGGTGTCCGTACCCCCCCTCCCCCCCCCGGTACCCGCAGTGGTTGTGCCGCTGTCGTGAGGAACCCCCCCCCGTCCCCCCACTAGAGGAGGTGCGGGGGGGGGGGGGCCTTGCCCTCCCCCTCGTCGCCCCGGGGGCGGCTTCGCTCTTTCTCGAACTCTTCCCACCGGCGATGATTGATGGGCCCGCTCGCTCTTTGTTGCTGACGAAGGGCCGCCTCGCCCCGGGCAACGACGGAGGAGCGTCAAGAATTGCGCTCGGGGCGACGCCGCCCCCCCCCCCCCCCCCCCCCCCCCCGCGTGTCGCGCAGACGCGGGGGGGGGGGGGGGCCGCCACCGTCGCCACCGCGGACGGCAACGAGAGGGTTTGGTTTTTTGCTTTCATGTAAAAAAAAACACATTTTTATATTTTTTTGGCCTTGCGCCAAATTGTATTCCAGTTGTGTGGCTGACCTGGTGGTGAGCGGCCACGTTGGCACGAGATGAAGGAATTTCCACTGCAACGACTCGCGGAGAGCAGTGCACCGCCTTGTGTTGGAGAACAGCCCCCCAGCCCCCCCTTGCCCCCCTGCCCCCGCCCCGTTATGGGTGACGTCACATTGCTACTGACGAGGTCCCTCCGCCCTGCGCGTGTGGTAGTGGTGGTGCACGCTGGGCGGAGGCGTCACCGTCTCACAGGCCTGGCCACGAGTGTTCCAGAGCGGTGAACAAAGCGATGGGGTTTGTTGTTGTTGTTGTTTTTCATTTTCATATGTTGGTACTGGCAAAGGAGGTCCCGTGATGTAGATTAGGGGTCGGGGAATCTTTCGTCTGCCAAAGAGCCATTTGGATATTTACAACATCATTCGCGGGCCATACAAAATTATCAACTTAAAAATTCGCCCGTTATAATTGGTCGAACATTTAATTAACTCACCCCTAATGCGATGGCTGGAACTGCTTCTCTTTGGCGAGGCGTGTGATGATGTTAGCTGGTATTGATGATGTTAGCTGGTATTGACGATGTTGCTACTCGCAACTGCTTTTCCAGGTTTGCTCCTAGATTTATTGAATTTCGAGTCCCGCCTGCGGTTGCCTTGGCAGGGCCAGAGACCAAATGATTTCGCGGGGCCTCATACGGCCCATGGGCCGGACGTTCCCCACCCCTGATGTAGATGCTCTACCCCGAGCCCTCATTACTCTGATAGTGGCATTGTCTTTGTGCTGTGTACGCCTTTTGACGTCCTCTGGTGTAACACCGTTTCGAGACGAGGCTCAAAAGAAAGCTGTCTCTGGTGTGGACCAATCAGTTTCAAGGACAATGCCACATATATTATCAGTGTGTTTTTTGTCTGCATTTTGACCACAAGTATTGTGTTTAATGCACACATGATTCCTTGTAAAAGGCTTCAGTTTGGTGTTTTAACATCTCAACACCTGTTTTGTTGCCAAAAAAAGGGGAAAACCTATTCTGATTTGTTGTTGTTGTTGTTTTCTTTATTTATCAAAAGAGTAGAAATTAGCTGAATTCAACGAAAGCGCCGAATGAACGTGTGGGTGTGTGCTCGAACTCACATATGGTGGTGTAGTGTCGCGGTTAGCACTAAGCTGCGCTACGAACCCGGCGACCCGGGTTTCATTCCCGCTCATGGCCAACACCGGTGACGATTATCTGAACCGGTCCTGGGCCTCCCCCAGGTCGACTCAGCCTCCAATGAGTACCTGGTGCGGTGTGTAAAAACATCACCATTAGGGAGACAAAGGCGGTCGGGCGTGGTTCCGGCCACCCCACCCCCTCGTGTGCAGCTGTGTTTGTTGGTGTCTCGGTGTCTCTGACACGGCCAATGTGAACCCGGCCTGCCACTCGCTCACCTCGCTCCTGTTACTATGGCTGCTGTTGTGGTCTTCGCCGTTGTCATCGTCGTTGTTACTGTGGTCGTGGTGGTGGTGCTTGTTGTTGTTGTGGTCGTTGTTGTTATTGTGGTAGTTGTTGTTGTGGCCGTTGTTGTTGTGGTCCTTGTAGATGTTGTTGCCGTAGCCGTTGTTTTTGTTGTCGTAGTAGTTATTTTATAGTCACTGTAATTGGAGGAGTTGTTGTGGGCGTTTATTGTAGTTGTTGTGGTGGTCGTTGTTGTTGTTGTTACCTGTGCGTTACGTGAACAAACACATAAAACCCCCGACTTAACTCGAGCTACAACAGCAGCAACAAGAACGGCGAAATCTCATTTAACCGCGCAAGCGATGATGCTGCACAATTTGGAGTTTTAATATATTATATATGTACATAGATATTTTTTGTTCCTCTGCTCGGATTAAAAGCGCGCGGGGATAATTTTTTGCCGGCGCGGGGATTTAATTCCTCCCGAGCTCCGCGCGCCGCTGTCAATTTCGAGAGATGATGGAAAGGGGCCGGCCACGGCGCAATCTGCGGGGCTAATGGCCTTGTTTCCTTAATGGTGCTCCGCCGCGATCACCAGATGGGAGATTGGCGCGCTCCATTAGTCGCGTCGGTGCCCTGAGTGGGCCCCCACCCCCCCCCCCTCCTCTTTCCTCTCTCTCTCTCTTGCCCGCTGTGATGTCAACCCCTGGTGAGGGGTCAGGGCGAGCCGGCCACCCCCCCCCCCCCCACCCCTAGTCCCACCACCACCGGACAAGGCCGAGGAAAGGCCACCACCTCCACGGCAAGGTAGAGCCGTCACCTCCGTGGTACAAAACACCGGGGCAGTATCCGCGCGAGGGCGAATATGCTCACGATTAGGGGAGTGAGTGATAGTGGCGCGTTATTGTTATTATTATTACTGCACCCAATGACAAAAACCAAAACGTTTAATGTTTCGCGAACACTTCTAGGTTTCCCAGGACGGCTACTTCACCCAACGAGAGGACGATCCCTGGGGAAAACGACGGTCCAGGTGACAACCCTTACCCGCGTTGAAGTCTCGCGTATTCTCAACCGGCAGGTCCCGTCGACGCGATGACCCGAGCCGGCCACGGCCACCTCGACCCCCGGGGAGGAGCGGAGATCGGAGTGGATGAGGCGGTGTGGCCAGGACCCTCGGACCCCCCAGGCTGCTACCTCCGTGACCCCTCACCTACAAGGGATTGCCCCGACCGGCCCTGCCCCCCCCCCCCCCCCCCCATCGCGCGCTCGCGAATTTCATCTCGGGGGGCGGAGGGGTGGCAGCAGCGTCGGGTTTGGAGGAATCTTGCGCAGGGAGGGGGTGCGGTCGTCGTCTCCATCCGATGAGCATGGCGCAGGGGGGAGAGTGTGCGGCAGCTGTGCGGGCCGTGCAGGTGAGCTGGGTTGTGTAGGTGAGCTGGGTTGTGTAGGTGAGCTGGGTTGTGCAGGTGAGCTGGGCTGTGCAGGTGAGCTGGGTTGTGCAGGTGGGCTTGGCTGTGCAGGTGAGCTGGGTTGTGCAGGTGGGCTTGGCTGTGCAGGTGAGCTGGGTTGTGTAGGTGAGCTGGGTTGTGTAGGTGAGCTGGGCTGTGCAGGTGAGCTGGGCCGTGCAGGTGAGCTGGGTTGTGCAGGTGAGCTGGGTTGTGCAGGTGGGCTTGGCTGTGCAGGTGAGCTGGGTTGTGCAGGTGAGCTGGGCTGTACAGGTGAGCTGGGTTGTGCAGGTGAGCTGGGCTGTGCAGGTGAGCTGGGCTGTACAGGTGAGCTGGGCTGTACAGGTGAGCTGGGCTGTATAGGTGAGCTGGGCCGTGCAGGTGGGCTTGGCTGTACAGGTGAGCTGGGCTGTACAGGTGAGCTGGGCTGTACAGGTGAGCTGGGCTGTACAGGTGAGCTGGGCCGTGCAGGCGTGCCGGGCCGTGCGGTGTAGCGATGCCGCACGACGCGAGCGGTAGATCGATCGGTGTTCGCCCGCGGGCCCTCGCCACACAGGTCCGGCACGGCCAGGAACCAGGTGCTGCGCTTACTCGAAATAGCGTGCGTGTGGGTGTGTGCGTCTCCGTGTATCTTTGTGTGTGTGCGTGTGTGTGCCTGTATCAGTGTGTGTGTGTCTGTGGATTTGGCTGTAATCGCACCTTCTGCTGATGTATACAACCTGGAGGTAACCCCCTCACTTACACACGGTCATGGATACACAATCACCGACGTACAGAAAGGCAAAGCTTCCTAGTATAGCGTCTAATAGACTGTTGGGGCAAGTGCTGTTAGTGGACACGTCCCACGAGGGGGTGGTTGGCCAGCACCATGGCCCTCCGCGTTTGTCTCCCCGGAACTGATGTTTACACACCGCATCAGGTACTCATTTAAGGCTGAGTCGACCTCAGGGAGATCTAGGAACCGATTCAGATATTCATCATCGATGCTGTTGGCCGTGAGCGGGAACAACAACTCGGTTCGCCGAGCTTTAACGCAGTGCGCTAACAATAGCTCCACTTCTCCCGACTGATTCACATACACACTTATTCACACGTACAGACATATCTCACAGAATTATAAACAAACTGGAACACTCCCACACGCATCCCACGCCTTTGGATCGCCATCATGTCCATCATCACAATCATTACCGTCATTGCCGTCATCATCACCGTCATCATCACCATCGCCAATACACCATCATTGCCATCATCACCATCATCACCTTCATCACCATGATCATCATCGCCACCACTATCATTCACCAAGGCCCCATTACCACCATCCATGCCCTGCTCTGGCACCCCCAGTTAATCGCACTGGTGACTGAGCAGGTATATTGATATCCCATACAGGTATATTTGGTTGTTTGACCTTCACACTGACCACGACCGGTTTAAGTATCACTCAGACACACACACACACGCCAACACGGGTACATACGAACGCACGAAGGTCAACACAAACTGTTGCGGCAAATGCCGTTCGTGACCATGAATCAAACTCTGGTCACAACGCTCACACACACACAGGGCCCCCGTTGGTTTTATTTAACCAGGTGGGACCACACGAGGTCAGGCCAGTGAGACATTGGTCTGCCCACAGCAGCGGGTGGGGGTGTGATAGCGGCGGGGGGAGCAGTGGTTGCAGCTGTGTGTGTGTGTGGGCGCGATCCCAATCGACTCGCGTGCGACGAGGTGCTCCGATTCGACAAAAGACGCGGACCCCTGCCCGCGGCCGGCACGCGATGGCCCGCCTCTTGCCAACGACGTCACGGGGAACCCCCTGTGACGCCCGCCGAGAGGCGGACGGCCCGCGTCGGTCGCGTGGATCTGGGTTGTTGTGCCCGCGGTAATAACCAGGGGCGGCCGATAGAATTCGAGCCGTGAACCTCTTACAACAACTAGCGGCGGTGGTGGGGGGTGGGGGGGGCGCGCCGCCACCCTCATACAGACAAAGGTGTTCCATGTAGCTCGTTTACAATTGGTCTCGGGGCAAGTGCTGCGAGCGAGCACCTATTGAGAACCCCGCAGCACACGAGGCGGTGGTGTGTGTGGCCATCGCCACCGTCCGACCGCCTTTGTATCCCTCGTGCTGATATTTAGACACCCGTTTAAGGCTGAGACTCCCTATAGGGGAGGCCCAGGAGACGTTTATAATTAATGCCACTGACGATAGCCGTGTACCGGGGAATCAAACTTGGACGAGCAGGACGACAGCACAGTGCGCTCACCAGAGCGCCACCGCTCCCCTGCTGCATGCGCACAAAGACAACGCCTGCATTCAACTAAGTGACGGTGACTTCATCACGGTGCTTGTACCAGGCTAGGTGCACTTTCAGGCCATCGCTGGCAGGAGCCCCCACCCCCCCCCCCCCCCCCCCCCCCCCCAGGTGTTCAGGGTTAAACTGAGATGACTGGCAGAGTCGCCACCTGCATACAAAGACAAAGATCCCCCGTATAGCCTTGCACAGACTGTCAGGGCAAGTGTTCTTAGCGAGCTTCTGTGAAGGCCGGCACGCCACAGGAGGGGTTGAGTGGCCAGCACCACGGCCGTCCGCCTTTGTCTCCCGAGTGGCGATGTTCATACACCGCACCAGGCACTCGTTTGAGACGGGGTCGGGCCTCGGGGGGGGGGGGGGGGCCAGGCCCAGAAACGGTTCAGACAATCGTCACTGATGTAGGCCGTGAACGGGAATCGAACTCGGGTCGTCGGGCTCGTAGCGCAGTAGTTTGAGCCACCACTGCGCCTCCACACACACACACACGTGCGCGCATGAACCCATCCACACACACACACGTGTCTCCACGTGGGTTCTTGGTCTCAGCCCTAGGTGTCGTCTGTGTGTGGATCAATTAACTTCCTCGCAGTGGAATTGCCCGCCCCCCACCCCCCCCCCGCCCCCCCAAGATCATTCATCTCAAGCCAGCGGTGGAGAAACTTACGGCCCCGTGGGCCAACTTGATGTCACGTCCAGCCGGGGCCACCTGGGGTCTCCAACTTTAGGCACGGCCCACAAACGATTTTGTCACTGCAAGGCATCTTATAGCCGCACTAATCGGGTACCAGAGTGGGACGTGTTTTCTGAGCTGGCAACACCATCGTCACAACCACCACCACTGTGTTGAAGCGTGGCCCACCAGAGGTATCATAAATCATCGTCAACAGCCATCGTCTCTCTGCTGCTAAGTTGAAGGCCTCTTCCGCTCTGACTTCCCCCCCCCCGCCCCCCCTTTTCGCATTTTCAGAATTCGCGAGTGCCGCGTCCCCTGTGAGCGGGAGGGGGTGTGGGGGCATCACGCGGTGATTTCCCCCCCCACCTCCACCCCCCTCCCCCCACCAATTCCCCCTCCCATATAAACAAATCCTTGGCCATATCAGAAACCCCCATCATAGTTCTAAATCGAAGGCCCCCACGCGCCCCAATCCCACTTGAGTCCCACATTCAAACCGAGCGGCAGGAGCGCCTGTTATCTCTGTGGAGTTCGTGTTGTTCTCTCGCCCGTGTCCTGCAATGGGTTTAACTCCGATGTCCTCCCCGTCGCTAAACCCACCGCGCGCGCGAGCGAAGTGTCTACATCGGCGTTGGCCACAAGCATCCCAATGTAGCAGGCAGGACCCTCCTTAATACACACAAAAAACGAATCCCGTGGCTCTCCCCTGGGTAATTAGGTTCAGAGCCTCTTCCCCCAAATAGCCGGGCCTTTTGCGTACAGATCCACCCCGCGTATTAAAGGTCACCCCCCCTACATAGCAGAGCCCCCCCGCCCCTACCCACAATATAACAGAGCCCCGCCCAAATGTAGCCACCCCCCCCCCCCCCCGTGCCTTCCTCGGCCGCCGTAGAGGGAAGGGCCCCAAGGTGAATGCAGGTCCCGTTGCCTTCGTCTCTCTTCTTCGTCTTCTCGACAGAAGCGCGTTCCCGTGTACATACGGCCGTGTACAGATGTCGCGCATCTCTCCTCTGCGTGTTCGCGTGTCCCCCCTCGCTGTGTCGCTGTTGCCAGTCTCTGTGTGTGTGGGTAGTCGACCGACCCGGACCCTTGTCCCTCCCCCCCCCCCCCCTTTCGCACCCCCTATGCATGTCCGCTGCTGCTGTGTCGGGTTAATAAAGGACTCTGCTATGCAACGGACGCGTCCACCCTGCGTCGTCTCTCGCTCGCAAGCGCCGCACGCCGTTACGCGCTGCACGCGCCCGATGATGGTGATGGTGGTGGCGATTTCCGCTGCAGTCGTTGGCGCGCTGTGTCACACTTGCACGGTGACAGAGACAGTGATGCCTGTGAAGGCCGGCAGGGCACGTGACGGGGTGGGTGGCCAACACCACGGCCGCCCGGCCGCCTTTGTCGCCCAAATGCTGAAGCGCTGATGGTTTCACGCCACACAATGAGCTAATTTTTAAGGCTGAGCCAACCTTGGTGAGAGGCCCAGGACCGGTTCAGATAACCGTCACTGACGTTGGTCGTGAGCGGGAATTGAGCTCGGGTCGACGGGTTCGTAGCGCGATGCGCTAACCACTACACGACCGCGCCCCACGGTGTACGGGTTACACAAAGACAAATATTCTCCCCCCCTCCCCACACCGACAGTATAGCCTTAACAGACTGTTGGGGCAAGTGCTGATAGCGAGTAGCACCTATGAAGACCGGCACTGTGGCACACGAAGCGGGGTGGGTGGCCAGCACCACGCCCCACGGACGACACCAACACACGATACGCAAGCTCCTTTACATACTCTACGTACACGACTCATCCATTTTAACCAACCGAGAGCCAAGCGTTCAAATCGCATCACCGGAGCCGCGTGCTTCGTTTGGTTTCAGCAAACAACCCGGGGGCTCAGCACTGGGGGTTCTCTCTCACATAGAGCTCGCACGCAAGCAGCTCGCGAGGCACAGAGTCTCGGCGAGACCAATGATGGACTCCCCCCCACCACCACCACCACAACCCCCCAGGGTCGCTTTCGTTTAACGTGAGCCGCAGAGACAGAGATCCCCTGTACAGCTTAACAGGCTGTTGGGGCAAGCGCTGTTAGCGGAGTGGCATCGTTGAAGGCCGGCACTGTGACACGCGAGTGGGTGGGTGGCCAGCACCACGCCCGGCCGCCTTTGTCTTCCCAGTGGCGACGTTAGCACACCGCACCAGGTACCCGTTTGAGGCTGAGTCGACCTAGGGGAGGCCCGGGACCGATTCAGATCATCGTCACCGGTGTTGGCCGCGGAGCAGGAATCGCACTCGGGCTCGCGGTTAGCGCAGCGCGCCGCGCTAACCGCTGCACCACCGCTCACTCCTCACTCACACAGCTGATGAGGATTTCAGGGAGATTGCGACCTCGTGCAGCGACGGGAACCCGGCGATGCCATCAACAAACTCCCAATACCCCCCCAGCCCCCACTCCACACCCCCCCGTCCTCAGCCCCCCCCACCTCAGCCCCCCCCCAGCCCCCCCCCCGTCCTCAGCCCCCGCCCACCCTAGCCCCCCCCGTCCCCAGCCCCAGCCCCCCCCGTCCCCAGCCCCCCACCCCAGCCCCCCCCCGTCCCTAGCCCCACCCCAGCTCCCCCCCGGCCCCACCCCCCGCTATTTAACTCGTCAGTGCCCCCCCCCGCCCCCCAACACACCCCCCCACCCCACCCCCGCTATTTAACTCGTCAGTGCCCCCCCCCGCCCCCCAACACACCCCCCCACCCCCACCCCCGCTATTTAACTCGTCAGTGCCCCCCCAGCCCCCCATCACACCCCCCACCCCCGCTATTTAACTCGTCAGTGCCCCCCCCGCCCCAACGGCCTCTCGCGCGGCTTCTGTCAAACGGCGGCGGCCCCGTGGAGGCCGTCGCCTGCCAAAGATCGCGCCGCGTGCCGCCGCAGCAGCCGCAGAAGCAGAAGCAGCAGAAGCAGCCGCAGAAGCAGCAGAAGCAGCAGAAGCAGCCGCAGAAGCAGCAGAAGCAGCAGCCGCAGAAGCAGCAGCAGCAGAAGCAGCAGCAGAAGCAGCAGAAGCAGCAGCAGAAGCAGCAGCAGAAGCAGCAGAAGCAGCAGCAGAAGCAGCAGCCGCAGCAGCAGAAGCAGCAGAAGCAGCCGCAGAAGCAGCCGCAGAAGCAGCAGAAGCAGCCGCAGAAGCAGCAGAAGCAGCAGCCGCAGCCGCAGAAGCAGCAGCAGAAGCAGCAGCAGAAGCAGCAGAAGCAGCAGAAGCAGCAGCAGAAGCAGCAGCAGAAGCAGCAGAAGCAGCAGCAGAAGCAGCAGCCGCAGCAGCAGAAGCAGCAGAAGCAGCAGAAGCAGCAGCCGCAGAAGCAGCAGAAGCAGCAGCCGCAGCAGCAGAAGCAGCAGCCGCTGCAGCAGAAGCAGCAGAAGAAGCAGCAGCAGAAGCAGAAGCAGCAGCAGAAGCAGCAAAAATGCGCCCGCTATTTTTTTTTGTGGTGGTGGGGAGGGTGGGAAGGGGAATCTGTCAAAATAAAGTGAACGTTTGGGGTCGGGTTTATTGGGGTGGGCGTGTCGCGTATCTGCGAGATACTGTGTTTGTTTATTTATTAGTTTGCTTATTTATTTGTTAATTTATCTATTTGTTTATGTAATTACTTGTTTATTAATTTATCTATTTGTAACTGTGTTTGCTTCTTTGTATGTTCATTGATCTAATTGTGTGTTTGTTTATTCATGTATCTATTTGTAAATGTGTTTGCTTCTTTGTTTATTCATTGATCTAATAGTGTGTTCGTTTGTTCGTCTGTTTATTTACCCATTCAGTCGCGTGTTTTTTTAATAAACAGGGTGCTTAAAAAAATGTTCACACTTACATGGGACTATCGTTTTTAATGGGAAAAGAACGGACAATACACTGTCACATGATAACTAATGTACGTTGATAGCTTCAAAAAGTCACAGAGTCTCGACTCGTTCGCCATCATTGTCAACACGTTGCCTGGAATCTCGTCCAGGTGGTCTCAAGAGCCCAGAGGAGGCAGCACGTTGTTGCAAATTCTCAGAAGTGCTAAACACATTTTTAGATGTTTACTCTCCCGGGCAAGGCCCCCTCACTGAGCTACAATATCACTCGGACATCCATGGTAGCCGCCAAACAACTATTCTGTCCCGTGCACCTCCGCGCTGTTTAGGAAAAACAAGTGCAGTCGCGTGAGTCGCGGGGTTCGGCCAGTTAGGGGGATTGTGGGGGGGGGGGGGGGGCGGCCGCTACAGTTTGATTGACAGGTGAGCAGGTCGACCAGGTGAGCGGTTCGACCAGGTGAACGGGTCAAGCAGGTGAGCGGGTCGACCAGGTGAGCGGGTCGGCCAGGTGAGCGAGTCGACCAGGTGAGCGAGTCGACCAGGTGAGCGAGTCGACCAGGTGAGCGAGTCGACCAGGTGAGCGCGTCACTGTCGCCAACCGAGTCGGAGCCAGGCGAGTCGGAACCTGACGAGTAGGGGCCTGGTGAGTCGGAGGGGGTGGCGTGGACAGCACCACGCCCGGCCGCCTTTGTCTCACCGGTGACGATGTGTGTACTAATTTAAGGTCGACTATACCTAAGGTAAGTACAGGACAGGACCGGTTCGGATATTCGCCAGGTATGTCAAACTCGGGCATCCTGCTCATAGCGCGGTGCGCTAACCAATGCACCGCCGCTCCCCACACACGCGCACAGAGACGCGCACAGAGACGCACACACAAAGACAACGATCCTCCATATAGCTTTAATTGGCATTTGGGGCAAGCTCTGTTATGAAGGCTGACAAGACACACGAGGGGGTGGGTGGCCAACACCCACGCCCGGCCGCCTTTGTCCTCCCAGTGGCGATGTTTACACAGCGCACCAGGTACTCATTTAAGGCTGAGTCGATCTAGGGGAGGCCCAGGACCGGTTCAGATAATCGTCACCGCTGTTTGCCGCGAGCGGGAATCGAACCCGGGTCGCCAGGTTCGTAGCGCAGCGCGCTAACCGCTACACCACCGCTCCCCACGTACACACAGACAGATACGCACTTACACACACGCCCATCACATGCTGCACATGGATTCACGTGCAACACGTTGTCAGTGGAACCCAGGGGCGGGGCGGGAGGGGATGCCAGGAGGAACCGCCCATTGGCTCATCTCGAGCGCTGCGTGTTAACGCTCCCGCACCACCACCACCACGAGCCCCCCCTCCTCCTCTCACTTCTCTCCACTCCGCTGCTCGACCGCCCCGCGCGGGGCACCACGCGCTCCGGCCCTGACCCTCACCCTGGAGAGCAGCAGCGGTAGCGGCGGAGGCGGCGGACGAGGAGGAGGAGGAGGGCCCGCGTGTTGCTGCTCATCTCGCGCGCCCCGTCTCGACGCAGCAGCAGCAGCAGCCCGACAGCAGAGCCGACGCAGCATCGCGGTCGCAAACTACCACGACAACACGGGAGCAGCTACAACTACTCGAGCAGCAACAACAACAACAACTACAGCGGCGGCGGCGGCGGCCACCACAGCACCACCGATGAGCACGGTTGGCTACGTACGGTGCGCAAGAAGTTCAACGCGCATACAACAGCGAGGGGAGTAGCGGCAGGAGTTCGGGGAGGGATCGGCGGCGCGCGATGCCAGACGCGAGACCGCGCCGCGCTCTTCGCAGCGCGGTCGTGGCTCAGCGGTCGTGGCTCCGTTGGGGCTCGGACTCGTGAGCCCCCGGGCAGCGCTGAGTCGCGCTGAGCCCTTACCCCCCCCCCCCACCCCCCTCTCTTCCCACTCTCCCTCCCCTCTCTATAATACAGAGCTCTCGCTCTCTCCAGGAGCCACGACGCTCTGCGAGCCAGGCGTTTCCTCTCTCCATGAGCCGCGGGTCTTGATTTATGCATGAGCCAGGCGACTTCGTCTCCTTGAGCCAGGCGACTCCGTCTCGATGAGCCAGGCGACTCCGTCTCCGTGAGCCAGGCGACTTCGTCTCCTTGAGCCAGGCGACTCCGTCTTGATGAGCCAGGCGACTTCGTCTTCACAAGCCAGGCGACTCCGTCTCCTTGAGCCAGGCGGCTCCGTCTTCATGAGCCAGGCGACTTCGTCTTCATGAGCCAGGCGACTCCGTTGTCATGAGCCAGGCGACTCCGTCTCGATGAGCCAGGCGACTTCGTCTTCATGAGCCAGGCGACTTCGTCTTCATGAGCCAGGCGACTTCGTCTTCATGAGCCTGGCGACTTCGTCTTCATGAGCCAGGCGACTTCGTCTTCATGAGCCAGGCGACTTCGTCTTCATGAGCCAGGCGACTTCGTCTTCATGAGCCAGGCGACTTCGTCTTCATGAGCCAGGCGACTTCGTCTTCATGAGCCAGGCGACTTCGTCTTCATGAGCCAGGCGACTTCGCCTTCTTGAGCCAGGCGACTTCGTCTTCATGAGCCAGGCCACTTCGTCTTCATGAGCCAGGCGACTTCGTCTTCATGAGCCAGGCGACTTCGTCTTCATGAGCCAGGCGACTTCGTCTCCTTGAGCCAGGCGACTTCGTCTCCTTGAGCCACGAGCTCTCGTTCTCTCCAGCAGCCAGGACGCTCCCTCCTTGAGCCAGGCGTCTCCCGTCTTCATGAGCCAGGCGTCTCCCCGTCTTCATGAGCCACGAGCTCTTCCCTGAGCCAGGGCTCCCGGTCTTCGTGAGCCAGGGCTGAGCGGGAGGGAGGAGCGCGGAGTCCCTGGGATGCACCGCCTCTTCTCGGACTACGCGGAGGCCGCGGTGGCGAGCGGCACGGCTGCCGGGGTCTTGGCCGGCGATGGCTCGGCGCTGGCGGCGGGCTCCCTGCCTCCCCTCAACGGCTCCTTCGGCATGGGGTTCGCCCCCTTCCCGGACCGGTGAGGACCCCGGCGAGGTGACGAGAGAGGGGACGGACGAGGGGACGGGACGAGGGGACGAAGAGACGAGAGAACGAGAGAGGGGACGGGACGAGGGGACGGGACGAGGGGACGAGAGAGGGGACGGGACGAGGGGACGGGACGAGGGGACGAGGGGACGAGGGGACGAGGGGACGAGGGGACGAGGGGACGAGGGGACGAGGGGACGAGGGGACGAGGGGACGAGGGGACGAGGGGACGAGGGGACGAGGGGACGAGGGGACGAGGGGACGAGGGGACGAGGGGACGAGGGGACGAGGGGACGAGGGGACGAGGGGACGAAAGAACGAGAGAGGGGACGAAGGGACGAGAGAGGGGACGAGAGAGGGGAGCGCGCTTTCGCGCACGGTAACGAGCGAGGGAATTCCAGTACGGAGCTGATGCGAATGTTTTCCATGCTAGTTGCTGCTCGTGGTGGTGGTGGTTGTTTGTGGTTATGGTGTCGGTGGTCGTGGTTATTGGTGGTTGCGGTTATAGTGGTTGTGGTTATAGCGGTTGTTTTGGAGCTGTTGTGGTTGTGGTTATTGTTTATTGGTTATCGTGGTTGATTTTTGAGTTGTTGTGGTGGTGGTGGTGGTAGTTGTGCTTGTGGTCACCATGCCACAACAGAGTGTGCGGAGCTTTTCCGCCGTCACTCCGCGGTGGCTCATTGTCCTCCGCGTCGCCATACTTCACCACGCGGGTCAATGCGCTTTGGTGAAGGGGCAGGAGCCCACGACTCACCGTCGGCCGTGACCTTTGTCGGAGCCCAGCGGCGCTAACCACCGCGCCACCGCTCCAAATCCGCTAATCACAATGCGGCTATACCGCGTGTATGTTGAACTTCTTTCGCACCGTACACGTAACCGACCGTGCTAATCGGAAACGCGCGAAATAAGTTCAACAAAAAAAGATTTCCCCCGTGTAGCCTTAACAGGCTGTTGGGGCAAGTGCTGTCAGCAAGCGCCTACGAAGGCTGGCACGGCACTCGAGCGGGTGGGTGGCCAGCACCACGCCCGGCCGCCTTTGCCTCCCCAGTGGCGATGTTCACACACCGCACCAGGTACTCATTTTAGGCTGAGTCGACCTAAGGGAGGCCCAGGACCGGTTCAAATAATCGTCACCGGTGTTGGCCGTGAGCGGGAATCGAACTTCGTAGCGCAGTGCAGCGCTAACCGCCACACCACCGCGAAGTTCAACACACACGCACACGTGTGTGTGTGTGTGTTGAACTTGTGTGTGTGTGTGCGTGTTGAACTTGTGTGTGTGTGTGTGCATGTTTAGATGTCGTCGGGAAAGCTTCGATGTCTTGAGTGTCGAGGGGTTCTTTGGAGGAGGCTCCTGCCACCCTGGGGATGTTCATGGGGACGTTTGGGCCAGCCGCGTGAGTGACGTTCGTGTGGCGGCGTTCCCGCTCAGGGTCCCTTCGGCTGTGCACGGGGGCCTCGCGTGGCGCGCAAACCACACCCCCCCCCCCCCCCCCCCGGGTATCGAGGCGAGCGAGAGACATTCGGTGGCAGTCGCCACCACCACCACCACCATCGTCAACATCACCATTCATCAGTCATCAACAATTGTCACCATCATCAACATTACGTATTAGCCACAAACATCACCACCACTGATTAGTTATTATAAACAATAACCACCACCATCATCAACATCACAAAACACTGATCAGTCATCATCAACATTTACCACAACCATCATCAACAACACCGCCACTGATCAAACATCAACAATTATCAACATCATCATTATCGGATAGTAGCAGACAACATCACCACTGATCATTCATCATCAACAATTATCACCATTATCATCATCAGATAGTAGCAGGAAACACCACCACCACTGATTGATCATCATCAGCAATTTTTATCCCTCACGGATCGATCATTATCATGGTCACTGATCGGCGATTATAAAAAAATATCACTGATCAATCATCATATCTGATCAATCATCACTATCTAATTATAATAATCATCCCTGATCAGTAATAATCACTGACCGATTATAATCATCATCACTGATCAGGCATAACCATAACTGATCAATCAACCGTCATCACTGATTAATCATAATAATCATCACTGAGCAAACATAATAATTATTATTATAATAAAAAAAATTAGCAGCAGCAGCGCCGTCGACAATAAGTCATTGTTTATTTAAGCAGCAGCAGCGTGTGAATATGATCGCAGCTTACGATGCTGCACAACCACAGCTGTGGGCGCGCTGATTGTACAATGAGCAAGAACCACGTCCACATGCCACGCTGCGCACACCCAGTGCAGCGTGGCATCGACTCATCGCTCTCGTACAGAGAGGACGACTCGGAGAGAGAGAGGGGACGACTCGAGAGAGAGGACGACTCGGAGAGAGAGAGAGGGGACGACTCGAGAGAGAGGACGACTCGAGAGAGGACGACTCGGAAAGAGAGGACGACTCTGAGAGAGAGAGGACGACTCTGAGAGAGAGAGGGGACGACTCGGAGAGAAAAAGGACGACTCTGAGAGAGAGGACGACTCGAGAGAGAGGACGACTCGAGAGAGAGAGGACGACTCGAGAGAGAGAGGACGACTCGAGAGAGAGGACGACTCGAGAGAGAGGACGACTCGAGAGAGGACGACTCGAGAGAGGACGACTCTGAGAGAGAGATAGAGGACGACTCTGAGAGAGAGATAGAGGACGACTCTGAGAGAGAGATAGAGGACGACTCTGAGAGAGAGATAGAGGACGACTCTGAGAGAGAGATAGAGGACGACTCTGAGAGAGAGATAGAGGACGACTCTGAGAGAGAGAACGACTCTGAGAGAGAGAGGACGATTCGGAGGGAGAGAGGACGACTCTGAGAGAGGGAGAGAGGACGACTCGGAGAGAGAGAGAGGACGACTCGGAGAGAGAGAGAGGACGACTCGGAGAGAGAAAGGACGACTAGGAGAGAGAGAGGACGACTGGGAGAGAGAGGACGACTCGAGAGAGAGGACGACTCAGAGAGAGCGAGAGGACGACTCAGAGAGGACCGCCTCAGAGGCGCCAAGCGAAGGAACCACAGACGGCGCAGCAGAAAGGCAGCAGCAGCCACGCGGTGAGCAGTCAGCACTACCAGCAATTGCCCAAGGTCTTCGGTCCTCTACATATGAAGGTGTTATCGGCCAATTGATGAAGGGAGCAGGTGTAGTCCACATTTTAGCTGTACCGCCTTCTCCTGGCAGAGCCCAGGAGTACGGCACCACCTCCTCGACGCCCACCCACGGGAAGGGAGTTCACAAAGCGCGCGTGTGCGGTGGTGGTCCACCAACCCTCGCTGCTGCCCTCCGCAGTGCCGGATTACAGACGGCCACGTGCGTAGCCAGCAGAGCCACGCGTCTCTGTGCGAGTCTGCGGGTCTGCGTGGCGGTCCGTGCAAGTCCGCGGCGCGCAATTAGACTGCCTGGGAGTGTGCGCAGCGTGTAAAATGCGACTGCATCTGAAGGCGCTGAATTTGTATTTGATGGAGGAAGGCAGCCGGGGGAAGGTTATCGAGCTCTGAATTTTAACAGGGGGCAGGGAGTCGAAGGCACCGATGACTGGGACGCGTTCGTCAGAGGAGAACGGGCGATAGGGAGTCATCAGCAGCAGCAATCATTGATAGCGGCATCATCACACATCATCAACACCACTACCGATCAATAACACTATGTAACACAAGTTTTGATTCTGGGTAGTAAGTGTTATTTCGTAATTGCGTATGCCTAAAAATTATAGAAAATGGCGATTATTCCCCACAAACTTTGCCTTTTGTGACCAGGACAGCCCATTGTGCCGTAGTTCTTCACCAGAGTCTCAACCAGCTCCACGTAGTTTTCGACCTTGTGATTGCCCAGGAAGCGAAGGGCCACTGCGACAAAGCTGTTCCTAGCCGCTTTCTCCTTACTAGTGAGCGTCTTGGGGAATTCATTGCACTCCAGGATCTTCTTTATCTGTGGTCCAACGAAGACACCGGCTTTGACCTTTGCCTCAGACAGCTTAGGGAAGAAGTCTTGAAGGTACTTGAAGGCTGCCGACTCCTTATATACAGCTCTGACAAATGTTTTCATAAGGCTCAATTTGATGTGCAGTGGTGGCATCAGCACCATCCGGGGGTCCACCAGTGGCTGCCACTTGACGTTGTTCCTCCCCACAGAGAACTCGGTCCGCTGTGGCCAGTCCCGCCTGTGGTAGTGCGCCTTGGTGTCCCTGCTGTCCCAAAGGCAAAGATAGCAGGGACACTTGGTAAAACTGCCTTGGAGACCCATCAAGAATGCCACCATTTTGAAGTCTCCGATGACCTTCCAGCCGTACTCATCATACTTTCAGGCGTCCAGCAAGGTCTTGATGCTGTTGTAATCCTCTTTGAGGTGCACCGAGTGAGCCAGGGGAAGAGACGGGTACTTGTTACCATTATGGAGCAGCACGGCTTTGAGGCTCCTGGATGAGCTGTCAATGAATAGGCGCCATTCGTTTTGGTTACAGGCGATTCCGATTGCCTCGAACAGACTGATCACATTGTGGCAGAAGCAGAGCCCATCTTGACGGGTGAAGTAGCTGCAAAAAGGTTGGTGACGCTTCTTCTGATCTGCGACTTGCACACTTTCATCCAACAAGTTCCACTGCTTGAGCCTAGACGTCAAAATCTCGGCATTGGACTTGTTGAGACCAAGATCTCTGATCAAGTCATTGAGGTCCTTTTGGTTGGGGTAGTATTGGTTTCTATCCTCAGCCCCACCTCTGAAATTGCCATCTGGATCTACAACGTCTTCCTCGCTCTCTGACTTGCTGCTCTCTTCTAAAGACGGCTGCTCTCTCTCAGGAGGAGTGGGTACGGGGAGCTCATGGCAGTGTGGCACCGGGGCGATGGATGAAGGAAGGTCCGGATACGTTATAGCAGGTGCATTCTTGCCAGTCCGACGTTTGGAAGGGTCCACCATGCAGAAGTAGCAGTTGCTTGAGTGGTC